CTCCGCCCCGCTCCCGGGCTGGGACGCAGAACTGAGCCACCCACGCGGGCCCCTGGAATGTCCGGGCAGCGGCGGCGCCAGCAGGCTGGCGTCCAGGGCCGCTGCTTCATTTCGAGTCTGAGAAAAGTGAGGGTTTGAGGCTCAGGAGAGAGGGCGCCGCTCTGTCTGTCCAGCTTCCTGCACGAAGCCGGCGAGTGCGCGGAGCCTGCTGGTGGCTACCTTTCCGCCCCGGGGTGGGCTCCTTGGGGCTGATCCTGTGGGAGCCAACATCGCCCACAATGGGAGAAGGAAACGCAAGGCCAGCTGGACTCTGGTAGCAGCAGCCTGTTGGGGGAGGGGAGAGCACTAGGCAGGTGCAGTGCCCTCCCCTTCCCAAGGCCCCTACCTGCCAGGTGGCACCTAAGAGGAAGAATAGGGCTGCGGGGGGCTGATCAGCAGCTTGGCTGGAAACAGTGAACACCCAAGTTGGAAAGGAACTCAGAGACCTTGAGTCTAACCCTCTCACTTCATAGCTGGGGGAAACGTGCGCGTGCGCGTCGCAGTCATTAGACCAGGGAGCAACGAATCTGAAAGGAGTCCCGGCACTCCCCGCCCTCGTCCTGTCCCCTCTGGCGAAGGGCGTCTCAGCCTCGGCACAGCTGACGTTTGGACCAGATAATTCTTTGCTGCGAGGACCGTCCTGTGCATCGTAAGGTGTTTCACAGCATCCCTGGTCTCTAAGACCCACTAGTTGCCAGTAGTACCCCTCTCCCCCTCCTGTTGTGACAACCAGATATCTCTCCAGACCTTGCCAGTGCTCCCTGGGATGGGGGCAGGAATGGCCCTCAGGGAGATCAGTGGTTCAGTTTTAGGATGTGTTAGAATCACCGGGGAAGCCTGTTAAACTGAGTTTCTGATTCACTGGTCGGAGGTAGGGCAGGAGAATCTGCATTTCTAACAAGTTCTCGGGTGGTGCTGCTGCTGCTGGTCCCTGGACCACACACTGAGAACCTCTGCTCTAGACTGGACTGTAAACTCTAAGGAGACATTGCTCCCTGAGGAATCCCAGTGAACACTGAGCCCAGTCCTGGCAGATGCAGGGAGCCCACCAACGGCTGTTGAATGAACGCTTGGGCCGGAGGTGGGAGGAACTCTGGCTCTTCCTCAGGACCCAAAAGAAAGGCAAAGAGGAAACACCATCTCCAAGGTCACAGGTGAGGAGAGCATCCCAGAGCATCTCTGCTCGCAAACTGGTGAGTTGGTCCCACGCAGAAGGCTGGATACCCAAGCTGCTCTCCTGGGTATGATCCTCTGGGGAAGGGCGGACCCACAGCTCTGCACCCATGGCGTCCAGGACTCCATTAGAAAGCTGAAGTAAATGCCTCCGCTGCCGGGGAGCCTGCTACCCCCAGCCAGGCCTGGGAGAGGCCCTGCAGCCCGGCTCTCCAATTTTACCAACTCTCTTTTCCTGGGAGGGACGGCCAGCAAAATTACATAACCTCTCCTTCTCAGAACCTGTAAGCTACAGTCTGAACCTGTCATCAGACACATGGGGTACCCCAACCACCACTCTACAGCCTGAAGCAGTTTCTCTGTCCCCCGCAAACAGACCTCCATCTCCCCTGTCAAAACCCCGCTCTCCCTCTGAAGCCAGCAAAATCTCTCCTCCGCGATCCTGCCTTTTCCCCCGCAGTGGCCTGCCTTAGTGCCTTCCCCTGAAGTCCCGCCACAGTGCCCTCTCAGCCCCGGGGCTCGCTGTCTGAGGGGAACAGGAAACGTCAGGGAGGCCTGCTGTGAGCACTTCCATTTCATGCTCACAACTGTCCCATTTTACAGATGAGAAAACTAAGGCTGAGTAACTTGTCCAAGACCGAACAGCCAGTAAGTGGGAGAGGCAGGAATTGAATGCAGGGAGCCAGGTGCCACAGCCCAAGCTCTGCACCCTTCCCCAGACCATCTCTGTTCCTTATGCTTTATTACTTGGGGAAGATGTCTCTGTCAGATGAAACTGTGCTTCTAGGAGCCAAGGATTATGTCCTTTTCAGCCCTAAATCTCCACTGTACCTTGTTTATAAAAGATGGCCAACAAACCACAGAACTAATGCTGTAATAGCCAAGCCTATTATGACAAAGAAGAGTGGGCCGAGGCTTCAGGAAACCAAACGACTCTGCTCAAGGTCGCCAGGGCTTATTGGCTAGCCTGGGCCTGAGTGTCTGTCTTCCCATTGCTCTCAGAGCCTCCGCCAGCCACAGCAAGAAGCTGGGGCAACGCAGCTGTGCCCTCCAAGTCACCTTCCTTCTTCTCTGGCCAGAATGCGATCTTCTGTTCCTTCTGTCTTCCCCGTCACCCCAGCACGGTGCTCTGCACACACAGGCACCCAGTGTCCGTGCAGTCACACACTCGAAGCTGGGAGGCTGGGGTTTCAGGCCTGCCTCTGGCTCGTGGGCCTCAGTTCTGCCACTGGAAGTCTCAAGTAAGACATTTACCTTTAAGGTGATAGAGGGCACGTGGAGGGTACCCTCAAAACTGGAATTGAGGGAATAGTCCCAGAGAGAAACTAAGATAAATCAAACTGTAACGGGAGAGTTTCCATGCAATCACTCTGGAAAACTGTTTGGCAGAATCTACTAAAATCAGACATAAACAAACCCTACGATCCAGCAATCCACTCCTGGGTCTACACCCAAGCGAACTGTGTCCACGTTTACCCAAAGTCACAAACTAGAATGTTCATAGCAGCAACTATTCACGGGAGCCGAAAACTAGAAACGACCCGAATGCCCATCCACTGTGGATTGTGGCGTATTCACACAATGGAATACCGTAGAATGAGAACGAACATTCTACAACCACACACGATGATGTGGATGATGGGATGATCCCACAAACAGTGCTGAGCCAAAGAACACAGACAAAAGAGCACGTACCACACGATTCCATTACACACCGGACAAAGACAAGCGAAGCTGATCTATGACGAGAGACGTCAGAGCAGTGTTCTTTTTTTGGGGGGCGGGGGCCCAGGCACTCATATTTTAAAGCTCTCCAGTAATTACAATGTGCAGAGAGGGGACAGGTCTGTACGTGGCCTAGGAAAGAGAGGCCTGAAGAGCAAGACCTGGGCAGGTGCATCGACACAGTTCAGTGCACTGAGCGGTCACCGCAGGGACGCTCCTTTATGCGCCTGGGATGGCCACGGTCACAGGTTATATGCTGTTCCCCGCAGCTTATATGCTGTTCTTCAACCGCGGCAATCCACCTGGGCTCTGACCCTTCACTCAGTGAGACCTACTGATTCAGAAGTCAGCCACAGGTCGCCCGGTTCGTGCAGGAGGGTGGGGCGTCAGAGGGCAGACCTAACTGGCGGGAGAGCGTGTTATCTATCTCCCAGGCCCTCCCTACAGCAGGTAAAACGCAAATACCCTGTGAGACTGGGAGAGCACGGTGGCCCGCCTGGGTGTTGCGCTATGAGTAGCCAGCCTGGCTTTCCCGGAGAACCCCCATGCCATGGGACCCTCCCTCCCCAGACAGCAATGACCTTGGGCTTTAAGAAGATCACTTTGGAATTTATAATAAGGGAGTTTCTAGCTTGCTTCCTTGTGCAAGTAGTTCAAATCCCAGCTCCACCATTTACCAGGTGAGGGACTTTGGGCAAGTTACCAAACTGCTCAGAGCATCTGTGGCCTCATCTGTAAAATGGGGATAATAATGCCAACCTCACGGGCTGTTTAGCTCAGAGCAGGTGCTCCACCAACATGTGTCACTTCCCTCCCTTAAATCTCTTATTCCTGCTCGAGGTCTCCATGTTGGAAGGGACGGACCCCTGCCCCCACTGGATTATGTAGCTCATGCCCAGAGCCCCTTCACAGCCTACGTGCATTAACGGACTGGAAGCAAAGAAGTGCGTGGTGTGGACACCTGTGGTCTAGGGGTACCTGCTGTGCTCCCCGTGTGTCCTCACCAAGAACATGACTTGGGAGGATGAGTGACAGCATAGGGTGACGTACATCCTTGGCTATCAGCCTTTCGCAAGACATGTCTCAGCTCTTTTCTATCTACCCGGAGCAGTTATAGTCTCAGCATTAGGGGGCAGAATTCCGTTTGCTAAGCCTTCATGTTTCCAAGGAGAGCTATATTTATCTCTGCCGTGTGGTCAGCTCCTTCTGGTGTAGAAAATATTCTAACCACTTCGAAACATCCATGAAAAATTCAGAAGAAATACAATACAAAATGAGAGTGGCTGCTTTGCTGTTTTGCTAGTGCCTGAAGTTAGTTTAACTGATGCACCCCAAAAGTTCCAGAAATATATTTTACCCGATTAGGTTGTTGTTCTTTTGTCGTTTGTTTGTTTTAATGCACTTTTTCAGAATAGTGACAAGATATTTTGCTGGGGGCTTGGGGGGCTGGGGAAGGGAAGCCTTTCTGAATGAAAGCATTTTTTTTTTCTTGGAGCCATAGTGCCTTTCCTTAAAAACAATGATTAGCTTGCCTAGTAAGAAAAAGGTAGTTTTGCTGTAAAGCAGCCTAATTTTTTTTTTTTTTTTTCCGAAATACAGTAACTGGAGGACAGTGGTCATTTAGTGACTGGGCTTAGAGGGAAATCCGATAGGCAATAAT